CACTTCCCAAGTGGCGCACTATCACTGTGCGCCACCGGGCCGGCCCGGATTAGTCGTTCTTTTGGTCAACAAAGTTCTTGGAAGGCTGAGAAAAATCTCCATGAGATATTTCAATTGATTACCATACCAACACATATTGATTACCATATTTAAAATGCCCCATATATTTTCTCAGTGGTAAAAAATAGTCATAAATTCAATCATCATATAAGATATATTAGAAATTCAACGAGGTTTTTTCATCTGCATTGTTGGAGTTCAAGCATTTAATTATTGGATGATTTTTGTTAGTTTGTTTAGCCAATAAAGATAAAGTGTTGTAAGTGGACTAGCTGTAGCCTCCACAGAACACAAGTCATGAAGCATCAGTGTTTACTGATACACTGTTATATAATCCACAAAGCCCAGGTCTAGAAGTCTGAGTTGCTTAATTTTCTTCCTGCTCGTTAGCTCTGGACCTTGAGCAAATCATCTAGGATTTTTTCCCTATTCATTAAGTAAAAGTTACCTTAAATCAGTGGTTCTTAGTTCTTAGCCTTTATTGCATTTTAGATTCTTGTTAAAGCTGCTAGATCCTATCCTAAAAATTGCACACATAATGTCTGTGCTACATGTTCACACACCTTGTTTTATCTGGCTCCCCAAAACAAGCTATTGGCAAATTGTAGAAACAACCCAGATGTCTATCGGGGTTGAAAGGATAAGCAAAATATGGGTATGTGAGTATATGTGTAGTGGAATATTATTCAGCATTAAAAAGGAACGACATTCTGATATATGCTACAACATGTTGAACCTTGAAAATGTTATGCTAAATGAAATAAGCCAGACACAAAAAGACAAATATTGATTATATGGTTCCATTTATATGGAATATCTAGAATAGGCACATTCATAGGAACAGAAGGTAGATAAGAGAATTTGTAGGGGGAGGAAGGAGTGGGGAGTAATTACTTAATGGTTACAGAGTTTCTATTTGGGGTGATGAAAAGGTTTTGAAAATAGCCAATGGGGGGCCGGCCCGGTGGCGCACTGCTACAGTGCGCCGCTTGGTAGTGCAGCGGCGCTCCCGCCGAGGGTTCGGATCCCACATGCAGACCGGTTCCCGCTCGCTGGCT